AACCAGAATTCTATCATAGTCTACAACAGTTCGCAACCTATGCGCAATAGTGATAACAGTATGATCTTTAAACTCATCCCTAATTGTAGCCTGTATTAGATGATCAGTTTTGAAATCTACACTGGCCGTAGCTTCATCCATTATTATCAATTTGGAATTACGAACTAGTGCTCTGGCCATTGCAATCAGTTGTTGTTGACCTTGGAAAAAATTTGATCCATTTTCTTTGACAGATGAGTCAAGCATTAATGGTTCTCGGTCATTTCTCTGGTCTGAAATAGAAAGGATGGCTTCTGATTTTTTATTTTCAAAAGTATAACTGGAATTTTCAATTAAGTGTACGCGTTCCATAACTCGAGATCGCTATGCTTGTTGAATGGGTCCAAGTTATTTCTATTTTTTTTTTTTAAAAAAAAAAAAATTCTAATAACTAGTTTACAGAAAGGTTTTAATAATAAATATGTAGAATCGAGAAGTTTGTTTACCTTATAGTACCATTAAATAGTACAGGGTCTTGAGGTATGATAGTAATATTACTTCTAAGGTCTTTTAATCCAATAGTACTGATATCAATATCATCAATTACAATACTTCCAGAAGTTGCTTCAATAAGTATAAAGAATGACTTTGCTAACGTTGATTTTCCACATCCTATTATTTAAAAAAATCAATATTTGTATAACAATAATTCTCAAACTGAGACCTAAAATTTACCAGTTCGACCAACAATTCCAATTTTTTCAGCAGCCATAATATCAATTGAGATGCCATTCAAAACTAGAGGACTATCAGGTCTATATTTAATTTCCAAATTTTTAATGTGAATTTCTCCACGAGCTGGCCACCCAGGTGGCGGTCTGTTATCCGGTATTATATTCTTGGCTTCTACTTCCAAATTTTCACTGTAGTGAATTAAGCGTTCCACTGAGTTCATATTTGCTTCCTATTATTCGACAATAAAAAAAAATAGTAGATTAAAATATATTATTAAAATATTTATTATTAAATATTTATTATTAAAATGTTTATTATTTATTCACTACTTCAGCAAATTCTTTAGTAAACCAACTAAAAACTGCAATAACTTGAAGTGCATAAGCCATTACTAATCCAGTAATTGATGGTATGACACTAAATCTAAAAATAATTGCAAACAAGCTTGCAAAAAATACCAAGATATTTGTGATAGTTTCAAAACGCACCACAAGCCATTGCCGAATACATATGGTGAGAAAGTATGCTCTATTTTCGACATCTAAGAATGTTTCGTTATTTCTATTTTATTTTATGTTTAAGTGAAAAAAAAGATCATTAAAAAAAATTACATTAAAATTAATAAAGCATCAAATTTATAAACCTCAAAAATCTTTCTTGTTCATGATAAGCACGAATAATTGGCAGCCCTAAAAGTGTCTCGGAAAAATGGGCATATAGCGAAGATCTTAATACTGAATCAAGACCTGTAATAAAGAAAAAAATATAGCGGTAAACCATGTACATATATAATTTATTAAGAAATGATAATAATAATTAATTACGCTTTAATTCGCGATTAGATGCCCGATAATAAAGAGCCACTAAATAAAAAAGTATGATCAAAGGAACCAACGGGATAATGAACCACACAAACACTGCTACGATTAGTATGAGTTTAAAGATCATACTGTTATCACTATTGCGCATAGGTTGCGAACTGTTGTAGACTATGATAGAATTCTGGTT